GGGGGTATATCGACAACGACATACCCGATAAAAAATAAGAAGACAAAAGAAGAAATAAAAGGAGGAGAAGAAGAAAGGAATAGAAGAGAAGCGATCGAAGAAAAAAAGAAGAGAAAAAGGAGAAGAAGAAAGGAATAGAGAAGAAGAAGAAAAAAAAGAAAATATTCTATTTTCTCTTCTTCTCCTCTATTCCTTTCTTCTTCTCCTCTTCTTTTTCTTATTTTTTTCTCTTCTTATTTATTTCTCCTCTTGTTCCTCTCCTCTTCTTCTCCTTTCTTCCTCTTCTTATTTTCCTTTCTCCTCTCATTCTTTTTCTTCTTCTTCCTTTCCTAGCTAGATATTTAAAAAAATTCTAAAAATTAAACGAACCTAAAATATACTAAATCAGAGAACATATATAGATAAAAAAATTCTAAAAATCTAACTTGTATATATGTATACATTAAAACATCATTATAATTGAAAAAATACATACATACATACATACAAACAACATGTAAAAAATACGTACATACATATATGAACAAACATAAACAAATACATATATCTAAAAAGTACATACATAAATATATGAAAATCTAAAAACATGTAAAAAATCTAATAAAAATGAAGAAAAACAGAGTTAATCTAATAAAAATTAACCAGGGGCGGCTGGCGACGCGGGGGCGGGCCACGGGCAGGGGCTCGGGCGCGGGGCAGGTACCGGTGCGGCGCCGGCGACGACGTGGTCGAGGGCATTTTTCGGGCCCTCTGCAATATTTGAGACATTTATCGCATTCCTTGGGTTCACTACAAGAAATATGTCGACTTATGACCACCACTATTGGTCACTGAATGGTCATTGTTTTCCATTTGTGACCTTTTTGTGACAAAAAACAGAAGGTCAAAAGCTGACCGTCGTAAACTGACATTAACGATCTTCTCTGTGAGAAGGTCGTAGACGTTTACGACCAAAACAGAAGGTCGTTGAACCCATGACCTTTTGTTTTGGTCACTGGCTGTCTACCCAGGCCACGTCGGATCCAACGTGGCAATCTGACATGGCAAAATTGTGACCTATTGAAAAGGTCACTGATAAGATTCAGCCCGGTCCGATTCGGTGTTTTACATGGGCCGAGCCCAACAATTCAGCCTATTTATATATATTTTTCTTATTAATTTTGTCAGCTATATGGGCCTGGCCCAACTATTCAGCCTTTTTAATTTCAGGGCCATTGCCTCTTATAGTCCAATTTTTACGCCCTCGACCCTTTTATAGTCCATTTCTGTTTTGGGTCTCAGCCTTTTTACAGACCATCTACTTTTTGGGACTTGGCTTTTTCGTTTGTCCCACTAGTCACCTTTCTATTTCTCACACTTCCATAATAAAAAAATGAAAAATATTTCAAATGGAAAGAGAACATATGAAACCATTGAAATGATAGCCAAAATTAGCACCAAATATGTTGACTACTGTACATCATACGAAATTACAGTATTTACATAGTGTTTATACAACCAGATATGCTGGCCACTGTACAACATAACTAGCACCACATTATAACTAGCTACTCTTTACTTTGTCGAGCTTCAAGCTTCTTCAAATTTCTTCAGCCCCGAGCTCCTGTAAAGAGAGGAAACACCACACTTTTAGAGCTTGATCAAGGCACAAATGTTTATTTGGTTGGGTCATGCCACAACAACCACATAGAAGCATAATTATAAGCACAAATACATCAACAATCTCAGTTCAAGCAAATGATCTAGTAGCAAAACATGAAAAAGGAAGCAACACATGGAGGGAATGTTTGCAACATCTCAGTTGATGACTTCAAATAGGTATAATCTATACAAGTATAATACAAAAATATGAGAAACTATCACAGTACAGAAATGATATCACGGAATTATATAGCTAACGCAATGACAGATTGAAATGTTTTACTCAACGTATGGAACTCAAAAGAACATTTCTGGTTAGTCAAGAGCATCTTAACTGCAGAAATTAGATAGTATGAAGGCAATATTCCAATGATCAAAACTGATGAAGCTGGCAACATAATATAAGCAGAAGTCGATTGTATCTACTAATATTTTGTGTGTCCAAGTAGGTACTGGTGGAAGGGTGTAAGTGGAGCTGCAGTAACCATGCAGCCAAGCATCACCCAATACTTGGGCATGCCAAAAACAAGACCATGTCTTCAATAACAGTCATGTGCACTTGCATCAACAAGAGGCGCCAAAACTGAGAAATGAGAACAAAATTTACATATTCATATTTTTGCATTGATAGTCTTTGAACTTTTATGTATCTTGGAAAGAGAATGACTGCCAGCAAATAGCACCTATTCATATTTTATTATTGTTCCAAGGCAGCAGTGTGCAAATAGGTATAATATTTATTTGCAAGAGGCCAGAAGTATTATAAAATCAGGCAATGAACACAGAACATAAAGGCATGCATGTATTATTAATTGAAAGAGAGCATCAATCAGTAAGGATGAAATCCATTCATTAATTACATATGAGAGCATTAGAATATACAGTTAACAAAAGCACAATATCAGTTTAATGATTTCACCATCAAATCAGAAGTGCTATTACTAATCATAGTTAAAATGACTGGGACATCACTCATATTTAAATTAAGGTCATATATACTACAAGAAGCACAGATCTATGATCTATCCCAGTGCTAACAGTATAGATCTGAAACGAGCTGAGTTAAGGAATGATAAAATTATTAATACAGAAATATCCCAATTCTAATTAAGTAACCATGAAGCCTGCAAGTTTTAGACTTTTTAACTCGTCAATCAATCAAATGTGAGGAATTGACGCCCGTGCACAACAGATCCGAAAGCATTCCTCTTGAGGTCAAGTTGAGGTGCCAAAATCTTGAGTCAGGTCCCGGCAGCGACAGCCTCGCCGCCCATCCCAACCCTCGCGGGCGGGGCGGGATGGTGGACGAGCTCGGCGAAGACCGGCGGAGCGCCGGTGCTGCTGGTGACGGCCGTTCCCTCACTGGCCCCCGGCTCAGACCAGATCCGGCCGGGGAGGGGCAGCGGCCGGCCTCCTAGCAGGTGGCATATATTTCTCTTCAGATTCGTTCCTTCTTTGGCCGCCGGGAAACTGCCCGTTTCTTCCTTGTTTACCTTGGGTTCGTAGCCAGATTAGAGCAGAGATAGAAACAAGCACGTTTCATCCATGGATGCGGTTAAATACTACTCCTACTGCGCATGCGCAGTCCATCTCATCTACTCCCTCCGTCCGGAAATACTTGTCATCAAAATGGATAAAAGAAGATGTATCTAGACGTATTTTAGTTCTAGATACACCCCTTTTTATCCATTTTGATGACAAGTATTTTCGAACGGAGGGAGTACGTAGGAATCTAGGAATTAACAACAAATTGTAGGAGTACTCTACGACGCAAAGAACAGCAAATCCCAAACAAATCCGAGCTATTCCCTTCCTTCTTTCTCTCGAGCCACTGGGCTGAATAAATCTCCAGCAGCACGTCGTCCTGTCCGTGTCCTGTCCCTCATGGCATGCCGGCTCGCCCTATCCTATCCAGGGTAGTATTTCCATCCTTTCCTTTCCTTGTGTTACTTCTTCAACCATCATGAATGATCTCGCCCAATCTTTGTTGGGGCTTCAAGCCCCAAGGAACACCAGGTGTTCGCCCATGTGCTCGATGCTAGCTAGCTACCTCATCGATTTCCCTCAAAAAACAAAAGGCTAGCTCATCGATGCTGAAACCGCGACACTGCCGCATCTCTGCGTTTCAGAGTGGTGCCCTTTGGATCTAGGGCTTCACAGTTTAGGCGATTAATAATTGTTGAATACCACCATATGCTCAGGCCATCTCAATTTCTCTGCGTGCTTGTGTCACAGGCTGGGACACATCTTGCACGGCGTGGGTTGGGATAAGTGATTCGCTCTCTCCAAGTACATAAACGCCCGCATCAGTGCTGAGCTGAAAACTCAAGGTACCCGCCGTTTCTTTTTCACGCATTCCTTTCGCTAACTGTATGTTATTCTTTTCCCACGCAAAAAGAAGCGCACAATTTATTTTACAACTTGTTTTCTGCGGAAGAAATTGCTAAGTCAGAACCGGCACGCAGTTTCTTTGGCAACTTGTTTTCTCCAGGAGGAACTGCTAAGTCAGAACCGGCGTGCAATTTTTTTGGCAATTTGTTTTCTCCAAGAGGAACTGCTAAGTCAGAACCGGCGCGCAATTCTTTTGGCAACTTGTTTTCTCCAGGAGGAACTGCTAAGTCAGAACCGGTCCACCCGTCCAAACCATTGGACATAGTTTTTTGGACTGTGATGGGGACCACTGCAGCCTATCTTGGCCTTGTGCTCTATGCTATGCTTAACAGATCGGGTGACCTAGGCACGGATGAAGAATATCGTAATTTTTCTATCAAAGTGTTGGATGATTCGAACAAGGGGGTCACTGGAAAAGGCCGTACCTTGGATGAAGTGAACAAAGTGTTGGATGATTCGAGTAAGGGGGCCACTGGAAAAAGCCGTACCTTGGATGAAGTGAACAAAGTGTTGGATGATATAATCAAAGCCGTGGAAGATTTGAAGAAGGCGGCCACAAATTCAAGTGCGAAGCCCAGGGATGTCAGTGGAAAAGGCGGTAACTTTGATGATGTGAACAAAGGGACCACAGATTCAAGCAGGAAGTCCAGTTACGTTGACGCCAAAAAAGGTAGCATGTCGATGAAATCAACCACGGGATTCCGTGGTGTCAAGGGAGTTGACGAAGCAAAAGCTGAGCTCGAGGACTTAGTTCACTACCTAAGGAATCCCAAGGTGAGAGACATCACCATCACCAATTAAGAAACTTGTATGCAGCCTGGTGCATTTCAGTTCTCCTTTTTGTTTCTGTAGACTAGATGTTGATCGAGTTGGTAACCTATCATGCTTAATTTGCAGCATTTCACGAGCCTTGGTGGCAAGCTTCCAAAGGGTGTTCTGCTTGCTGGCCACCAGGCACAGGGAAAACCATGTTGGCGAGAGCTGTCGCTGACGAAGCTGGCGTCCCATTCTTTGCGCGCAGCGGCAGCGACTTCGAGGAGATGTGGGTGGGTGTTGGGCCTAAAAGAGTGAGGGAGCTCTTCAGTGAAGCAAAGAAGCAATCCCCTTGCATCATATTCATCGATGAGATTGACACCATCGATGGGCAAAGGCAAGTAAATGACAGAAATGGGGCGAGGGAAACTCTGAACCAGCTGCTCGTTGAGATGGATGGCTTCAAGCAGAATGACGGTATCGTTGTTCTCGCAGCGACCAACTTCCCACAGTCACTGGATAAAGCCGTTATTAGACCCGGGCATTTTGACCGTCATGTTCAGGTTCCTAATCCAGATGTTGAGGGCCGGCGGCAGATCCTAGAGGCTTGTATGTCAAAGGTACATACTCTGTCCAGAAGGATAAGGCGTCTTCATAATCTTCAATGCAGGACTTTGGCCTTTCACTACAAATCTTCTTATTTTTTCAGGTCAAAGCCAAGGGTGTGGATCTGATGATGATTTCGAGGGGGACACCAGGATTCTCAGGTGCAGCCCTTACAAACTTGGTGAACGAGGCTGCTCTGAAGGCTGCCAAAGATGGGTCGGAAGCTGTTACGATGGATCACATTGAATATTCCAAGGACAAGATCATGATGGGCAGCGAGCGCAAATCGGCGGTGATACCTGATAACTGCAGGAACATGACTGCGTACTACACTGGAGGAAGGGCCCTTGTTGCTATCCACACGGATGGCGCTCACCTTATCTACAAGGCTACCATTATCCCGAGGGGAAACTCTCTTGGCATGGTGATCCAGATGCCTGAGGAAGAAGACGCCTATAAATTCTCAAGGAAGAAGATGCTGGCGAAATTGGACATCCTCATGGGCGGCAAGGTAGCCGAGGAGGTTATATTTGGAGAGAGCGAGGTGAGCTCTGACGCCCTGTCTGGTCTAAGAGAGGCGACTCAGCTGGCGACAGACATGGTCACCAAGTATGGAATGAGCCAGTGGATCGGCCCTGTTTGCTACGGCAACAATGATGGGAAGCAGACGGCGACCTTGAGTTGGCAAGCGACAGCCCTAGTCGATGAGGAGGTGAAAGAATTACTGGTCAATGCTCGCAAGAACGCGGAAAATATTATCACGGCGCACCGCAACGAGCTTAATGTGCTAGCCGACGCCCTTCTCGAGCATGGAACTCTCACTGGGGACCAGATCAAACAGTTGGTAAATGGTCTTAAACTTGGTAATGCGCAGAATCAGGAAACACCATCTTCATCCGAACCCTAGCAGTGGAGATGTACAATGGTTTGGTCGCTCTATGAACTTTTTTCTTTTCTTTACTTGCATGCATACAAATGTAAAGAAGATGCACACGGTCTGAATTTCTCTGGTTTTTGTTTCTCTCTTATGGAGGAGTGAATTGCAAAAAACCACCACGTTTGGGGCATCGATTGCAGAAAACCACCTAATCCCTAATTTTGTGCAAAAAAATTTCAGTAAACTTTTTGCAAATTGCACTGATCAGGTGATTTAGCCCATTTAATCATTTTCTGACAGATGGGACCGGACTGTAAGAAGCTGACCTGGCAAAAAATTGTTTGGTCGGCCTAAGAAGTTATTTCTTCTTCTATTGATTCTTTAGCTGCATGCACACAAAATGTAAAGAAGATGCAGGCACGTTCTGAATTTCTCTGGTTTTTGTTTCTCTGTCATGAAGGGAATGCAGCGTGTTTTTTTGGAGTATTGTTTTGTGAATCTGTAAAAACTCGTGCTTTTGAATCTCAAATTACATGAATGTAGTGTGCCCCAAGATTGGTAAATCTCTTATTTGACCTTGGTACAGTGGGGTAAAACCCTACCGGAAGCATTTATTTTATTAGTTATTAATTATAAAAGAGTTCATGTACAAGGGGACTATATATGCATTGTACAGCCTACTACTCCCTCCGTTCACTTTTGTAAGTCATTTCAGACAACTCAAAATAGGTTGTTTTGCACATTGTCTGAAATATCTTCAAGGTCTTATAAAAATGAACAGAGGGAGTAGTAGATTTATAAGAAACTAGGCAAAAGGGATGGGCTACAGAGTGGTGAACCAATTATTTTATTTTATTTTGACGAAATGCAGCTTGGCTGCTTTCATTGCGATTAGAAGGAGTAAAAGGTTACAAATGGGTAACCAGAAAGTAAACAAAGAGTGGCGGAGTTTGGGGGTTGGGGAATAGAATAGTGGTGGTGTTGTTGATTCTAAACTAGCCCTCAATCAGGCTCCCTTGGCCTTTCAATCAGTGCTATCACCCGACGTCTCCCAGCATCGATCCATATCTTTGCTTCCTCCTGTATGTTGGAAAGAACCTGACCGATCGTAGAGGCTTGTTGGCTGAAGACACGGGCGTTTCGTTCCTTCCATAGTGACCACCAAATGAGCGCACTGATCGATCTCCAAGTTTTTTGGCGTCCTTCGTGAGCCTACCTGAAGTGCGTGTCATCCAGCCCAGGAGGGTATCATCTGTGGGCAGCGGCGCCATGTCGCTCGGCATCGTCAACAAGTCAAGCACTCGAAGCCACAACCCTTGTGCAAATGGGCAGGTCGACAATATGTGCATCACCGTCTCTGGAGTTTGTTGGCATAGCAAGCAGGTTGGGTTATGTGGCCACCCACGCTTGGCAAGGTTATCATCCGTAAGACAACTTCCTTGAATCGCCAGCCAAACGAAGAACTGGCACTTCGGCGGGGCCTCAGAGTTCCAGGCCATTTTGGCAAAGTCGTGCTTGATGGTTGCAGCAAAGAGAATTCTGTTTGCAGAGGCTGCACTGTAAACACCATTGGCCGTCCATCTCCATGAGATTGAGTCCTGCTGATCCGGATTGAGGTGCACTGCTTGAAGGTCGTCCCATAGGTTTGTAGACTGGAGGAGCGTGTCAGCAGTGGTGTTGTCCTTGAAATGTCTCATCCACTTGTCATTATGCAAAGCCGCGGCAATGGTTATGCGCCGAAGGGTGCACTGGCCAAAAAAGTCGAGGTAAGTTGTGCATAGACTTTGATGCCGCAGTCATGGGTCAGTCCAGAATTGTGTGATCCTGCCATCCCCAATTGAGAAGTCCACCAACACCTCGAAAAGTTGTCACACGGTCCGGTCGAAAGGCAGGGGAAGCCCAATCCATGGCTTGGACCGATCCATCCAAGATAACCAAAGTCATCTGCATCTCAGGGCCAAGCTCTTGCATCCTAGGCTAGGCACGCCTAGGCCTCCCATGGCATGAGGCAGGCATACCTGCTTCCAATTTATCAAACATTTCCCACCAGGGGGCAGGGGCTTCATCTTTGTTGGCCCAGAGGAACCCACGACAGAGCCTGTCAATCTTCTTGACCATCCATCGACCCGGGTCGATCGCCAACAACTGGAATGTGGGGATAGCATATAGGACCGATCTGATCAGAGTAACCCGATCGGAAATCGACATGTGCAGCTTGTTCCACCCCCGGTCTTCTTATGCAGCTTGTCAAAAATGGGCTAGTAATGGATTCTTTTGAGCTTCGTGACACCTAGCGGCATCCCCAAGTAGGTGCAGGGGAACTCTATAACCGGGCATTGAAGGGTGGCAGCAAGTGTAGCGATGTCTATCTCCTCACAGCGGATGCCCCATATACTGCTCTTCTGGAAGTTCGTCATCAGCCCACTTGCATCAGCAAAGGTGTCAAAAATGGCCTTGGTTACAGTGATCTCATGTCTCGAGGGTCTGATGAACATGACAACATCATCTGCATAGAATGACGCCCTGATGGATGGCAAGCTCGTAGCGAGGGGGCTGAATAACTGGTTACTGACGGCAGTATGGATACGAGGACAAACAGCAACGACGACATTGGGTCACCCTGGCGCAGGCCTTTGTGATGGTAGATTGTTGCTGACAGCTCGCCATTTGCAAGGATCCTTGTGGATGCCGATGCAAGGACCAAAGAGATCCAGTTGCGCCAGTTTTTACCTATAAGAAGCTACTCACTGCGCCCTATAATGTAAGAGCTGAAACTAGTTTGTAGAAACGTCTTATCTGAAAAACCTTGAAAAATGTCTTATCTAGATTCTACAAGCCACTGAAGCCATTGGACGGCCTTGGCTGGAGTTCTTGCTTGTATACTAGATCATGATGGCGCGCGTTGCTGCACCCGTCCATTTTAACAATAAATGATAGGAATTTTCACAAATATTTGTATATGTTTATTTTTTAAGTAATGGAAGAGAAAGCTCAAAGGCTTCCGATTGATGGCCTTAATTTGAATATTTTAGTTCCTTGATGCAAAATTATATTGTTAAAAGAAAAATCATGGTTGTAGAATTCGTTTGTCTGCATATATAGAAATACAGATCATAAGGCAGATCAAGGTAATTGATGGCTCATGATTGAGCAAAAGAATTCTACAACCCTGAGCCCGTTGAAATGTAAGTGATGTTGTTCAGTGAAACTGTTGGCTGCCTGTCCAGCAAAAGTGATGCACGCCCTGAGCACGTTCCAATAGAGGTCCTCAACCAAAACTTCCCTGACGTCCGTGCGCACCTTCGGCCAGGTGCTGCTGGAGTGAAAAGTGGTAGGAGAGTCAGCATGTGTACACGTACATGTACCCCGAGGCAGCGGAGAGGACGACCACATCATCCACCATGAATATGTGCATGAAAAATGAATAATGAATGTGCCCTTGAAATCTTGGTGGAACAGTTTCGCTCAAACGAGACGACGGGCTAGCTGGATCCCCTCCTTTCTCCCTCGCGGATCGATCGGCCGCTTTGGCTGGATCGAGCGACCCCCATGTAGCCCGCATCACGCGTCGGCTGGATTCCCTCGTGTCTCCCTTGCAAACCGTTCGCCCACATCAGCTGGATGGAGCGCCGTCGCCTGTCGCCTGCAATCATCGCAGCAATCATGCAGCGTAAAAACATGGATGGTAAAATGTGCAAGGAATAAGGATACTGTGTGGAGTAATTACCTGTCCAGATACCATTTCAGATTATGAACTGCCAAACAAAAAAATTCCCAGTACCGAGCTTCAAGATGTGCCCAAATACGTTGAGTACTGCCAGCAAGAACATCACCTGTGACTTGAATATGTATACAAGCTCCCGAGTAACTGACTATCTGATTGCACCTCTGCGTTTCTTCTTTTCCTACTCGCAAATAACATAAGTTCTATGTTGCAGAGCCTACAAACATGAATAATTAGTGGTCATATAGAACTTATGGAAATCAATAATTCAAAAAAAAAAGAATTAGACAAACACATTACTTATATTGTGCAGACATCCGGTAGATCAAGAGCATCCAAAGCGATTGACCAGTGTATCAACATGATCCAAACATAATCAGACCGTGATGTGGTACATAAAGACGGACACTGTATGTAGAACAACGCACAGATCACCAATATGTTTTACCCGGAGCATTAGCAATTTAGTATGTATTAACAGCAACATGTAACAAGAATATGGACAGACTGAAAAGGACAGTGCATGCGATACAATAGAAATTTGGGCAAACCATATAGAGGCAACATACCTTATTAAGGGTACATTGGCCAAGCCATAGAGAATCACCAGAAGAATGTGCATCCAAGGTCGTGCAGAGGAAAGGATTGCGCCAATCAAGTCTCAGCGGAACAGTTTCGATCAGCTGAGGCGTCGGCCCTCATCACCCGTCCCTTCCCTTTTTCCCTCGCAGACCGATCGACGACGTCGGCTGGATCGAGCACCCCCGAGTCACCCGCTATGCGTGCGCCGGCTGGATCCCTTAACCGACGATCGCCCGCAGCGCACGTGCGTCGGCTCGACCGATCGACCGCGGCGCCCGCATCACGCGTACCTCGATCCCCTCTGGCACCAATGACCGATCCGCTCCTCTGTATCCATCGGCAGCACCGACCGATCCGCTCGTCCTCTGTGAAGCAACCAGCGACCAGCGCACCTTTTTCCTGTCGAAGCTGCGGCCTGATAAACGTGCTCAACACAACAAACGGGTGCCAGAGCAAATAAATTCATCAATGCCAACCAACGAAGATAGTCCTAAACTCCTAATGGCAGCGACACATGAAGAACCTAGGGTTAAATACCTTGGAAGGTGCCCGTAGCGCAATATAGCGAGCAAATTAAACAGTAGACGCCCAAATTTGTCACCGGAGCAGCAGCCCAACACGGTTATCGATTGTTGGTAGGTCACAGCCAATCGTACGAGCGAAAATGCTCAAAAGTGACGATCGAACGGCTGGGGACGCTGATGGCTTGGGAGGGCAGGAAAAC